ATTTTCTTTAAATTATTCAGATTTTTCTTGATTAGTAGTAACAGGTAGTAATTCTTAATTAAAATAATATTTAAAATATAATAATTTATATAAAATCTCAGATTTTTATCTAGCTTCTTGATAAATAGGACTAGAGAGATTATTAAAAAAAAATTAAAATAAATAAATTTTTTTTATAGATTCTTGACTAGCTACTTATAAAAAATTATTAATTTTTTTTAGAATATTTTATATAGGAATTTAAATAGCAGGACTTTTTTTTTTCTAAAATAATAATATAATTATAAATATAGTAAAGCAGGAGCTTCTTTATTTTCTAAAAAAAAAATATATCAGTAAATTTCTAGAATTTCTTAGATAATTCAAGCTTTTTCTAGTTAAGAGCAGTGTGGAGTACTATATTAAATTAAATTATAATAATTATATAAATAAGATAATTTTAGTAAATATATATAATATATATATTTAAAGAGACAGGCTAAATATTTTTATTTTTTAAAAATTTAAATAAATATATATTTACTGGTCAGGCACAGGCCGGGATATTATAAAAAATATAGATTTTAATTAATTAAATTAAAATATTATAATACTTCTAGTAATAAGGACTGGTAAATTAGAGAATATAATTAATAAAATTTATATAAAAATTATAAAGCTTCAGCTAGAGTAGACTGATTATAATTAAAAAATATATTAATTAAATAATTAAAAAAGAGATATTTTTTTAATATAATTATATATTTTCAGAATAACTCAGATATAATAAATAATTATTTTAGTCTTATTTTTATAGCTGTTAAATTTTATAATAAATTTAAAATATTTTAAAAAATATAATAATAACTGCTGGATCTTAGTCTAATTTTTATTTATAATATAAAATATAATATAGCTGGTATTAAATATAATATAAATAAAAATTTATTCTTCTTCAGGATTTAGCATAATAAAAATTATTATTAAATTAATTTTTTAGAATTTTTCTTTAATTAAGAGTTTTCTAGTAGCAGTTTTAGATAAGATATAAATTTATATTAAGAATATAATTTAATAACAGTTTAAATTAGACAGACTTTTTTTAATTACTTACTTAGATCTGGGGAATATAAATATTCTGGATATAATATTTTAATAAATTAAAATATTAAAAAAATTAAAAAATAAACTAGAGCCAGGGCTATAAATAAAAAATAATAATAAAATAATAAATATATTTCTAATAATAAAATTAAATATATAAAATAGCTGGTATACTAAATATAAATATTAAATTTAAAATAATCTTAGATTAGATACTAGCTGAAACTGCAGTAAAAATATTTTTTTTTCTTTTTTTAGATAGATTTAGGCCGGGATAATAGATAGTAAAAGATAGAGAAATCTATAAGATTATAATCTAAAATAAAAGATTTTTTATTAGTAGAGTTTATAGAAGGCTTTTATAAGATTTTTTTAAAAAAAAATAAAATTAGCTGATCCAGTAAATAGCTTTTAAAATTTATTATAAAAATTTAAAATATATTATAGTCTTTTACTATTCAGAAACTAGAGAAAATAAGCTAGAATATAATAATTTTTTTTAAATAAAATATTATTCAGAAATATAACTTTCAGCTTATAATTAATATTTTTTTTAATATTAAAAATAATATATCCAGATATATTCTGGCTTTTTAAATTAAATATTAAAATTTAATAAAATAAATATTAAATTTCTGATTATCCTGCTTTAGATAATATAATTCTAATTAAATATTATAAATATAATTAGAATTTTTAAAAATATATTATAAAAATTTTAAAATCTTTATATAGTCTGCCAGGGTACAGATTTTATTTTTAATATAAAATTAGATTTAGTTATACAGTATTTTTTCTAGATAGCTTATAATATAGAATATATAGATTTATAAGATTAAATAATAATTATAATTAATAAATATTTTTTTTTAGATCTGGGAGATAAATTGGATAAAATTAATATAATTATTTTTAAATTTATTAAAATTAGGAATATGCTCAGAGAGAGAAATAAAGATAAAAAAATTAAGATTAATTAATAAAATTATTTTTATTAGAATAGTTATTATATTTTTAATAATAAATTTAAGTATTTAATTAGAGATACTAATTATAAATATAACAGCTTAAATAATTCTAATATATTTTTTTAATATCTAATTTTTTTTTTGATAGTGATCTTCTTGGTAGTAAATATTTTAATAAATTAGTAATTAATATTTATAATTTACTAGGCTTAGTAAATTATTATAGTATTTTTTATAGTAAAATCCTGCTAGAGCTGGAAGTAGTTATTATCTATCTTTATTATAAAGACTAAGATTTGATTATAATAATTATATTATTTTTTAAGATTCTTTGTAATATATTATATAAATTTTTTGAGTTTATTAAGATTAATCAGGGGTCGTGGGATAGCGGGTATCTAGTTAATTATTTATTTTAAAAAAAAAAGTTATATAATATTTGTGATGGTGAGTGACATCTCAGGATTATATAACTTTTGTTTTATTTGCTTTATTTACCTGCCTTATATAGTTTATTTATCTTTATATAATTATATATTCTTCTTGAGCTTCTTTCTTTCTTTCCTTATACTAGAAATTCTTGTTAAATAATATTAAATTTAATTATTTAATCAGCTTCTATATAATTTCTAGTATTATTTTATTATCTATTTTTTAAGTTAATATTATATACTGCCAGCTATCTAGCTCAGTAGCTGATATTATTTTTTATATATATTTAATAATGTTAAATACAGCTAAAATAAAATAATCTAACTGAGACCTGAACTAAAATAATTAATAAAAATATTTATAATAATTAAAGAAAGCTATACTGAATTAGTATTAAATATTATAAATTCTTAATAATATTTAATAATTCTGCTGGGAGGAGAGCCTGATAATAAAAAAAATATTATTTATAATTAATTTTATAAATTATATATAAAGAATTCTAATAAAATCTTTAATATAATTCTCTATATTATAAAAGAAGTAGAAATAAAAATATATAAAATTATTTATTAATAAGACAAGCTTAATAATAACTATAATAAATTAATATATAAATATAATTTATATATTATTTAATTTCTTTAATTTAATAATTAGAATAACTGAGCAGCTGAGACTCCTGAATCTAAGAAATTAATAAAAATCTTTAATTTATCTTTATTTAATAATAATAAAATTATTAATTTTAAAAATTAGTTTCTTGTAATATAGCAGAAGTTGGAAATTAATATAAATTATTTAAATATAATTATTATCTGATAAGCTTATATAACTAACTACTATAAAGATAATATTAGAAAATATTTAATTTTTTAATTTTATTCTGATACTTTAAACTTCTATATAAATATAACTGATATACTTAAATATTTAAAAATTATTTATACTAATTTAAATAAGTCTTATAATATATGCTGATAATATCAGAAACTTAAAATAATAATTAATAATAAATTTTATAATTTTATATTTATATTTTACTATCTTGCTGTAGAGACAGGTATTATTAAAATTTATTAAAAAAAATTTTTTTATTAATATTTTTTATTTAAATTATAAAAGCTGACCATGTCCTGCTTTAATAATAATAATATAATATTTAAATAATATATTAAGAAGTATACCTGATTATTAGACTTAATTAATAATATAATAAAATATTATAATAAGATTAGTATCCTGAATTACCAGCTATTTATATTAACTATTATTATTATTATAATTATAATCTTTTTTATTCTAATTAAAATATTTTATAATATCAGCTGCGCTACTAATATAAAATTAGAAAAATATACTTATATAATAATTAAAAAATACTGCTTTATCTATTAAGAATAGAAATATTTAATCTAGAATTATCTAAAGAAAAAAATAGATTAAATTAAGCTATTAAAAATAATAGAAAATAATAATTTAATAAAAAATAATATTTAAAAAAAGTTTTTTTTTTAGATAAAATAAATATTAATATTAATTTATTAGATTTATAAGATCTGCTAGACTAAGAGAATAAAAATTTTATTATTAAAATTTTAATATTAAATAATAGATTAATAGTATCTGTATATATTCTTATTAATACTAGAGTTAATATTTATATTTATATAAATATTATTTTTATTATTTAAATAATTTATTAATTCTAAATTAATATTATTTTTTTTTAAGATTAATTATATTATTATAAGCTTTAATAATAAGACTATAATATTTTTAATTTATATTATTTAATTTATATTTATAATTAATAGATACTAGTTCTATAATATATTATTTCTGATATTTAAATTAGACTGCCATGATATTATTCTGGAATAAATATAATTTATAAAATAAAAAATTTTATTAAATTACTAGTAAAGTAAGCTAGTATAATTTAATTATCTTTTTTTATAAGATAAAGTCAAGGCTGGACTACTATAATAAATTTTCTAGAATATTTTATTATAATATTAAATTAATTAAAATTATTAGTAAGATACTATCTAATAAAATTATAATTTCTAAAAAATAATTAATATTTTATTATAAATATTCTCTTTTAAAATAAAACCTGAAATATTTTAAATTTATTAAAATATATTATAAGAGATTCTAGTTAAAATATACTGAAATCTGATAAATTAAAATTTTTAATATTAAATTTTTAAAGTTCTCCAGAGCCCCCAGGAAAGAAATATTTTAAAAAAAATTAAAATAATTTTTATTAAAATTATTATTTTTTATAGATATCTTCAGAATTCTAAATCAGAAATATTTATTATATTTTTAAGTATAATTAAGAAGACTATTACAGAGAAAATAAATTTTTATTATAAAATATTTAAATTAATTAAGAAAAAAAAGATAAAGCAGACTTTTTTTAAATATTATTATAATTTAATAAATATTTTCTTTAAAAAAAAATTAGATATTTTATCTATTTCCTGATTCTATAATTATTATATTTAACTAAAAAAAAATAATCTATTAGAAATAGTTTCTTTTTATAAAATAATTTTAAAAGAATTTAAAACTACCCATGATTATATTATTAAAAATCTGAAAAAAGAATTTATTATATTTAATATAATTTTATTTACTTCTCTTATTTTAATAGTAAAAAAATCTGGAAAAAGATTATATCTGTATATTAATTATCAGAAATTTAATATTTTAATTTATAAGAATCTTTATTTTATTTTTTTAATTAATAAAATAATAAACTGTCTCTAAAATATAAAGATATTTATAAAATTTAATATTTACTAAGATTTCCACTGTATTTATATAAATTTTAAATCTAAAGATTTAACTATTTTCTAAATCTGTTATAAAATTTTTAAATATTAAATATTATTATTCAGATTTATAAATAGACCAGTAGTTTTTTAATATCTTATTAATAAGATTCTTATAGACTTCTTAGATAAATTTATTATAATATATATAGATAATATATTAATTTTCAATAAAAATAAGATAAAATATAAATTTTATATTTATTAGATTCTTAAATATCTTCAAGCAGCTGGATTTTAAATAATAATTTATAAATATAAATTTTATATAATAAAAATTAAATTTCTAGATTTTATTATTACTATTACAGATATTTAGATTAATCCTATAAAAACTGCTGTAATTATAAAATAATAATATTTAATTATTATTAAAAAAATCTAATTATTTCTTAGATTCTGTAATTTTTATTAATATTTTATAAAAAATTATAGCTAGATTACTAAATTTATAAATTAACTTATTTAAAAAAATATTCTATTTACTTGAAACTAATTTTATAAAATAATTTTTTAAATTTTAAAGTAGGTCCTGATATCAATTTCTATATTAATTTATTATAATTTATCTAGATTTATATATATTAAAACTAATATAATTAATAAAATAATTATAGAAATCTTTTACTAGCAGATTAAAAATATATAATATCTTGTAATCTACTATTTAAAAATTATATTTTTATTTAAATATAATTATAATATTTATAACAAGAAAATACTAGTTATTATATATATTTTTATAGAATAAAGAGCAGAACTGAAGAGTTTATAATAATTTAAAAAATTTATAATTTTTATAAATTACTAAGCTCTAGAATATTTTATAATTATAAAAAAATTTAATATTTAGCAGGCCTGCTAGACAAAAATATTATTTTAATATTATTTTATTATTAAATATTAATTAGAAAAGAATAATATATTAGCAGACTATCTTATATAAAAAAAAACTAATTTAAAAATAACCAGTAACTACTATTACTAAGTATTATTAAAATCTGAATTTTTAGAATCTGGTATAACTTCTAATTTAATATTAATAATTTTTATAAAATAAAATCTTTATATTATAAATTATATTCTAGAAATGTTACAGGACAAGCCCCTACTAGAGGACTCAGCTAACCAGCCTTATTGCCGCCTGCTGACTAAACATAATATATAAAATCTTAGAAACTTTGAGACCCTGTTTTAAACAGCAGTTATTTCTTCTTATTTAATAGATAATATACTCTTGGAACTAAGAAGCAATCTCTAATATTAAAAATAACTTTTAAATAAATCTACAGTATAGAATCCGACCATATAACTAATAAAATTTAATAAAATAAAATAAAATAAAATAAAAAAATAATAAATAATATAATATAGTTATAATTTTTTACTGACCTTATTAATAGACTAGAGAGAACTAAATAATAGATAATAAATTAATAAAATTATTACTAATAAGTTTAACAGAATAAATACAAATAACTAAACTAATATATTACTAAGTTATAAAATATTATTAATATTTAAGCTGTAAGTAATATATCTTATAATATTATTATTTTTTTCTTCTAGTATACAGTCCAGTAACTAAGATTTATATATCTAGAAATTAAACTCTTTAATAAATAAGATAAAAAGAATTATTTTAAATTTAAAATATATTTATAATTTAAATTTTTTATAAATTTAATTATATATCTAGATAATGCATCCCGGGTGGCTTATATATTTAAATAACTAGAAAAATTATAAAAAAAAATTTTATTATAATACTAAAGTATAAACAGTATAGTTATTTATAAGAAAATAATAAAAAAATTAAATAAAATTTATAAGAATAAGAATTAAAAAATAAGAATTTTAAAAAAATTATACTCTTTCTGACAAGATAATAAGAGTTTTAAAGATTTTTTAAGAAACTTTAATATTATCTTAATTTAGATAGATAATATAACATAAAAAAATATTTCTAAAATTATAATATTAGAAAATTTAATTAATTATATATTATTATAAATTATTATCAGCCTGGAAAAGAGTCCCTTTTATAAAAAATATTATAATTAACTTTAATAATATAGTTATGATATAAAATAAATAATATTTAAAAAAAAATATTAAAATTATTAATAATATATACAGACTTATAATTCCTGTATAATCTTAATAAATAATATAGAAAATATTATAAATTAGAAATATATTATCTTAATAATAAATAATAAAAGATAAAAATATATAGTCTAGTTTAAAAGTCTGAGTTAATATAATTCTTATTTTATTAAATAGATTTTAATTAAAGAATTATAATAAAGAAAGAAAACAGACCTCTATTTTTAATATAAAAAAAATAAATATCTAATTAAAAATTATTATTAAAAATCTATATTCTAACTTTTAGTCTAAATAATAATTACAGAGTATAGAAAATACTTAGAAAAAAAAATTATAAATAATAAATAAAATAAAAATTAAAAAAAAAATAATTTCTGTATAAAGTCACAGACAGAGACTTTTAAATAAAAAAAATTATTTTTAATAAAAGATTTTTTTAAAAAAATATATAAACTTTAAATTATTATTTCTAAAAATTATTATTAATTAAATAATAAATATCTATACTATAGTTAATACTGGATATCTTATCTATAATATTATTAATTTAAAATATATAAGAAAGAATAAACTAGATCTAATCTTTATTATTTTAATTTTAATATCTAGAATTAGAGAAAGAAAAATTATTAATTATATTATTTAAATATATCTAGATATCAGGACACATACTAAATCTAAATCTTATATATATATATTTAATTATAATCTAAAATATAATATTATTCTAGGTCTCCTTTGGCTGGAGTATTATAATAAAAAAATTAAATTAAATTAAAATTAAATTTATTTTTAAATAATCTAAATTTAAATTAAAATTATATAAATATCTTAATCTATATATATTTTTATTTAAATATTAACTACTGCTTTTTAAGTATAGATTAAAAAAAAAAGAAAAATACTATAATTAAGAATAAAGATATTTACTATATTTCTAAAAAATATAAAAAAAATTTTATATATTAAATCTAAATTAAATCTAAAGGACAAGCTGTCAGAATAATATTAGTAATTCTTAAATTTATTTAAATTAAAAAATATAAAAATCTTATCTTTATATTACAGACCAGGTATTAACTATTTTATTAAATTAGAAAAAAAAAATAAAAAAATATTTCAGTTTTTATAAAAATCCTTATATAATATATTCCAGGAAGAACTTATTATACTTAAAAAAAATTTATAAAATTATTAAATAAAAAATTTATCTGGATAAATAATTTATTAATTATAATTTTTATATTTTTTATTCAGAAATCAGAAAAAGATCTCTGTTTCTATATTAATTATTATAAATTAAATATTATTATAAAAAAAAACTAATATCTGCTATTCCTAATTCATAAAATATTAAATTAAATTAGAAAAATATAATAATTTATTAAATTTAATATTTCTGCAGTATTCTATAAGATATATATTATTAAAAAATAAGAATAGATAATAGTTTTCTGTATTTAATATAAATTTTATAAATAATTAATTATTTTATTCAGACTTATAAATACTTTTAATATTTTTTAAAAATATATTAACTGAGTCTTGCAAGAATACTTAAATAAATTTTATTTTATTTATCTAGATAATATATTTATTTTTTTAACTAAAATTTTATAATAATATTAGAAATAAATTTAAAGAGTCCTGATTAAGCTGTAGAATATTAAATTATATTTAAATATTAATAAATATAAATTTAAATAGAAGAAAATAAAGTATTTTAGATTTATTATTAAGACTGGATAGAGAATAAGTATAAATTTAAAAAAAATTTATATAATCTAAGAATAAAAGTTATTTATAATAATTAAAAAAATATATAAATTTATCAGATTTATTAATTTTTATTATTAATTTATATTAAATTTCTTAGGATTGCTCAAGTCTCTCTATAATTTTATTAAAAAAAATATATAATTCTAGTAAACTCAGGAATATTAAAAGAATTTCTTATATTTAAAAAAAATATTTTATATAGAATTAGTACTTGTTTTTTTTAATTTTAATAGATAAATTATTCTTAAAACTGACTTTTTAAATTATAATCTGAAAGAATATTTATTCTAATATAATAAGAAAAAAAAATTATATTTATATATTTATTTTTTAAAATAATTAGCACCCGTAGAATATAATTATAAAATTTATAATAAGAAATTACTAGTTATCATTAAATATATAAAAACTTAAAATATTAAATTATATTTTATTCTTAAATTTAAAGTAATTATAGATTATAAGAATCTGGAGTATTTTTATACTTTAAAAAAATTATTTAAAAGATATATTTAATAAAATCTTTTTCTTAATAAGTTTAATTTTTTTTTTATCTACTGAAAAAATATAAAAAATAACTAAGCTAATATATTTTCCTGTTAAAATTAAAATATATTTAATTATTAAAATAAATAGATTATTATATAAATCTTCTAATTTCTTTAATTAAAAAAATATTATGGAATCACTCAAGCTAAATTTTTAGAAATAATTCTTATATCTATTAATATAATATTTTTATAAAAGAAAATTAAAAAATAAGATAATTAATACTAAAAAGCTAAATAAATAATCTAGAAAAATATTTAAAAATTCTTATCTAGTCTAAAACTAAAAGTTTCTATTTTAGAATATATAATTAATTTGTAAGAAAATCTGATCTTTAAAAAATAAAAATAAATTTTTAATTATAAATTCTTATAGATAAAATTAATATAGAAAATCTATAATTTATTAATAACTGGATATCTGGGCTGGAAGTAAATATATTTAATAATAAATTAAAAATATTTCTAGTTTAATATAATATAAGATATATAAATA